CATAAATGAGAAATGCGAAAAAAAAAAAATTCAAACCACACATCTTAAGTCGTTTAACATATGTGGCGGCGGTCAAAATGAGCTATCCGACATGGTTTTAAAGAGAATTCGACGGTAAAACTTGGTACAATTGGTGAAACAGATAGCAAAAAGTATAATTGATTTTGTATGAGAGGAGAAAAAAGAGAAACAAACAGATAGATGATTTTTCGTCAGATGAAAAAAAAAAAAGAAACGACTTAGACCTAGGTTTTTTTATCTTTATATGAACAACTTCGTTAAATCAATCTGTCTAAATTCGAGTTCTGGGTTTTAATGGAACCAACATCTGAATTTATTTTATTCTTTTACTTAACGGTTTATGTGTGTAAACTAAAACAAAACCACATTTACCAAACATCAGTTTGGACAATTCGATTCAAAATTTCGGCTCAAACCTAGCAAAAACTCTAGAAGAAAAATTAATTTCTCATCGCCTAAGCTAAGTAAGTCAATTTATTTTACACTAATAAGTTGCACAAATATCAGGTCGTGTGCATAACTTTCCGCCTGTTATCTATGTTCAACACGGTATAGCAAAACTATAGAAGAATATTAAATAAGATAATTTTATTATAATTTTTATAAGAAAATTACAAAGTCTTATTTAATGCCACTAATACTGCAACGACATATAAATCTTCTACAACTACGAATATACTTACCCCTTCTAAAACAAGCTTTTCCGCAGTCATAACAAAAACCCATTACGCCTTGACGAAGAGAGTGTCCAAGATGTATATCCACTAGAATTTCATCCATTGAAGGGCTCGCTGATGGATTGTCAAGAGATGTTCTCTCTTGTAAATTAGCTTTTTGAATAATTGTTGATGTACCTATAAAATTTCCAACATATATTTCACATTATCAAATCAATATTGAAGAAACGACTATATATATATATCTTACATAAGATCCCAATTAAATAGATTTAGACTTACATGAGGAAAAAAGGACTAGAAAAGTTAAAAACAAAATAATTGTCTTCATTCTTTATGTATGATATAATAGTATTGAAGAAAAAATATATCAAAAGAATTATTGTGCAATGAAGTAGGTAAAACTACATAGTGTCATATTTATATAAATTTTTATGAATTAATATGTTACAAAAGAATTATTGTTCTAATAAACGTTTTATTTTGTTATAAATGAATTCAAGTAAACAATACTCCTTCCGTTTCGAATTACATGTCATTTAAGATTTTCTCACACAAATTAAGAAAACCAATTGTTTTGTTTTTTCCTTTAATAATATTCTTTAGAATTTTTTTCTAGGCAAAAACAATAAAGTAGTAGAGAGAAAACATGAAGTTTTTCCAAAAATTTGCATTGAAAATCTAAAACGACAACTATTATGAATTAAAATTTAAATTCTAAAACGGCAAATAAATTGAAACAGAGGGAGTAATGTTTTAACATAATGGTTTCATTTCTAAATTAATATATTTTCAATACAACATTTATTATTTATAACTATACATTTAAGGATAATTCTTAGGTAAATGTCTTTAATTTTGGTTTATAAGATTTTTTTTTTAAAAAAGATTCTTATTAAATTTACTAGGACTATAATTTTATATATAAGTTAAGAAATATAATTAAATTTTATTACTTGTGGTGATATTAAATATAATGTCAAGGATGCAAGAGACCTACCTAGATATTCGATGTAATAGAATGTAGGATTAGTTCACATATAGTTATTGTTCTAGCAAATGTTAACTGCAAATGATGAAAATAACTTAAGCAAACAATATTAAAATGTCAATAACCAAAACGTTTCGTTAAATCAACAAAATAAATAAATCAATATAGAAAACCACATCATAGCAAAAATTTGAACTAGTTTTTATTTAAAATTATTTTCTAATTTTAACGGTCATATTTTTATAACAGAAATGTGTAATTATATATTAAAAACTATTGCAAAAAAGTATCATTGGCCAAATTGCTACGTTTTATAAAGTAAAATGTGGTTGCTTGTCTGAAAATATTTTGAAAACATTTATACTTTAACACCCCGATTTCAGGAATATGGTGGTGCATGCAGAGAGGGTTAAAAGAATTGATTTGGCCACCTATGTCACCAATGTGCACTTATCTTTTCGAAACTGTCCTGAGAGAACTCCACAGTTAAGCGTGCTTGGGCTGGAGTAGTTTCAGGATGGGTGACCTTCCGGAAAGTGATTGCCGGAATTGTGTGAGTGAGGACAAAACACAGGGAAAGATCATGTTGTGATTTGTAGGGTCAGTAAACAAGTCTTTAAAGCCTTTCGGACGTAGCGGACCGTCCGTCGAACAGGGATGGGCCCATGGGCCTTAGAGAGGATGTGGTGCCCACTGGTAGGGACGGTCGGGGCGTTACAAGTGGTATCAGAGCCGATTCCAGACGAGTGTGGAGTCAAGAGGGCTCACACCATAGGGGGTGACGGTCTTGGTGTGCAACGAGGACGTTGCGATCTGTTAGTGGGGGTGAATTGTAACACGGGATCTTCTCATATATGACTCCAAAACCGCTAGTCAAACATTGTAATGTTTCCCAAAGAATTGTAGGTGTAGGAAAAGCTATTATACTCAATCATAAACAAGGGATCTTGTTATATTTGACTCCAAAACCGCTAGCCAAGCATTGTAATGGTTCCTAAAGCTTTGTAGGTGTGGGAGAAGTTCTATAAGTGTTTTTGGGACCTTCTACACAATCACACACGACTTTAGCTTTAGGAATTCGACTGCAAGCCTTGTTCTTATACGCAATCATAAACAAAGGATCTTGTTATATTTGACTCCAAAACCGCTAGTCAAGCATTGTAATGGTTCCCAAAGCTTTGTAGGTGTTGAAGAAGCTCTTATACTCAATCATAAACATGGGATCTTGTTATATTTGACTCCAAAACCGCTAGCCAAGCATTGTAATGGTTCCTAAAGCTTTGTAGGTGTGGGAAAAGTTCTATAAGTGTTTTTTGGGACCTTCTACACAATCACACACGACTTTAGCTTTAGGAATCCGACTACAAGCCTTGTTCTTATACTCAATCATAATCAAGGGATCTTGTTATATTTGAGTCCAAAACCGCTAGCCAAGCATTGTTATGGTTCCCAAAGCATTGTGGGTGGAGGAGAAGTTATATAAGTGTTTTTTGGGAGTTTCTACACAATCACAAACGACTTTAGCTTTCGGAATCCGACTACCAGCCTTATTCTTATATTCAATCATAAACAAGGGATCTTGTTATATTTGACTCCAAAACCGCTAGACAAGCTTTGTAATGGTTCTTAAAGCTTTATGATTGGGGGAGAAGTTCAATAAGTGATTTTTGGAGCTTCTACACAAACACACACGGCTTTAACTTTCAAAATCGGACCGGAAGCCTATATCTTATACGTAATCATTAACACGGGATCTTGTCATATATGACTCCAAAACCGCTAGTAAGGCATTGTAATGGTTCCCAAAGCTTTGTAGGTTTAGGAAAAGCTCTTATACTCAATCATAAACAAGGGATCTTGTTATATTTGACTCCAAAACCGCTAGTCAAGCATTGTAATGGTTCCCAAAGCTTTGTAGGTGTGGGAGAAGCTCTTATACTCAATCATAAACAAGGGATCTTGTTATATTTGACTCCAAAACCGCTAGCCAAGCATTGTAATGGTTCCTAAAGCTTTGTAGGTGTGGGAGAAGTTCTATAAGTGTTTTTGGCACCTTCTACACAATCACACACGACTTTAGCTTTAGGAATCCGACTGCAAGCCTTGTTCTTAGACTCAATCATAAACAAGGGATCTTGTTATATTTGACTCCAAACCCGCTAGCCAAGCATTGTAAAGGTTCCTAAAGCTTTGTAGGTGTGGGTGAAGTTCTATAAGTGTTTTTGGAACCTTCTACACAATCACACACGACTTTAGCTTTAGGAATCCGACTGCAAGCCTTGTTCTTATACTCAATAATAAACAAGGGGTCTTGTTATATTTGACTCCAAAACCGCTAGCCAAGCATTGTTATGGGTCCCAAAGCATTGTAGGTGGAGGAGAAGTTATATAAGTGTTTTTTGGGAGCTTCTACACAATCAAAAACGACTTAAGCTTTCGGAATCCGACTACAAGCCTTATTCTTATACTCAATATTAAACAAGGGATCTTGTTATATTTGACTCCTAAACCGCTAGACAAGCCTTGTAATGGTTCCCAAAGCTTTATGAGTGGGGGAGAAGTTCAATAAGTGTTTTTTGGAGCTTCTACACAAACACACACGGCTTTAACATTCAGAATCCGACCGCAAGCCTAGTTCTTATACGTAATAATTAACACGGGATCTTGTCATATATGACTCCAAAACCGCTAGTCAAGCATTGTAATTGTTCCCAAATCTTTGTAGGTGTGGGAGAAGTTCTTATACTCAATCATAAACAAGGGATCTTGTTATATTGACTCCAAAACCGCTAGCCAAGCCTTGTAATGGTTCCCAAAGCATTGTGGGTGGAGGAGAAGTTATATAAGTGTTTTTCGGAAGCTTCTACACAATCACAAACGACTTTAGCTTTCGGAATCCAACTACAAGCCTTATTCTTATATTCAATCATAAACAAGGGATCTTGTTATATATGACTCCAAAACCGCTAGCCAAGCATTGTTATGGTTCCTAAAGCATTGTGGGTGGAGGAGAAGTTCTATCAGTGTTTTTGGGACCTTCTACACAATCACAAACGACTTTAGCTTTAGGAATCCGACTACAAGCCTTATTTTAATATTCAATCATAAACAAGGGATCTTGTTATATTTGACTCCAAAACCGCTACACAAGCTTTGTAATGGTTCCCAAAGCTTTATGAGTGGGGGAGAAGTTCAATAAGTGTTTTTTGGAGCTTCTACACAAACACACACGGCTTTAACTTTTAAACTTGATGATTCATAAAGCTTATTCAACATTTAGGATCAACATTTAACATTCAAACAAACTTACCCTAAATAAAATACCCTAAAATGGTGACGAGATTCAGCTTGTGTTAAATGTGGATACCCTAAAATGATTCTACGTATAAAGCTCCAAATATACCCTAAAATTCAAACAAACATTCTGCAACTGCCCTAAAATAGGATCTTTAGTTATTTACTTATATAGCTATCAAGTTTCATTTCTTGCTGAACATTTTTGGGATTGTTGATTGAATTTTGGCTGGATATTTCTTTAATATAGCTATTAAGTTACATTTCTTGCTGAACATTGTTGGGATTGGTGATTGAATTGGGCTGGATATTTCTTGTTGAATATTGTTGCGATTGTTGATTTCTGATTGTTTGTATTAATATAGGATGCTGGTATCCCAAAGAAGTTGGCTCCTACAATCGGTATTGCTGTTGACCATTGTCGCAAGAACCGATCTTTGGAGGGTCTTCAAACCAATGTCCAGAGGCTGAAAACCTACAAGACTAAGTTGGTCATCTTCCTGCGTCATGCTCGCAAGGTTAAGGTAATCATTCGAAGGAATTAGTCTAGGGTTTAGTGTTCTTCATCAATTGTTGGATTGGTACTGATCTCTTACTTGTTCTGATTTTGTTTGTGTGTTGTTAGGCTGGTGACTCTACACCAGAAGAGTTGGCTAATGCTACCCAAGTTCAAGGAGACTACTTGCCTATTGTACGTGAGAAGCCAACCATGGAGCTCGTCAAGCTGACTTCAGAAATGAAGTCCTTCAAGGCGTACGACAAGATACGTCTTGAGCGCACGAACAAGAGACATGCTGGTGCTAGAGCCAAGAGACCCTCCGAGGCTGAGGAAGAAGAGAAGAAGTGAGGTCCTTCTTCTTAGGTAGAAGAAACTTTTATCTTATCAACTTTTGGAACTGAATTTTTGTGTATCACACATCTCCACTTACTATAGTTTGCTATTATTTCGTATGCTCCTTTTTCTTCCAAAGTCTCTACAAATTTAAGCTTCATGGGTAATAAACAATTCTAGGTCACCGAAACCAGATTTTGCAATTCATCCCAAAGCTCATCAGCCATAGTAAAGGAAAGGGAGCTTATAAAAGGTTTTCTGATAAAAGATTAAGAGTTCGGAAACTAAAGCTAAAGTATATAAAATATAGGGACTAAGAGGGAAAGAAACCGATATGAGTTCAGTGTGTAAAAAGAATCTAAACAACCTTTATCTCGAAACAATATCAATTACCTTCAAAGTCCAAAAGAAAACAAAAATTGTTAAAAGATAGGAATAAAGAAATGATTTTCAAAATAAGAGTTTAAAAGTCGTGAAATAGCATAATCGCATCATCAAGTTTAAACATAGTGGAAGAGAGTAACAGCCTCTTGGCTCTGACCTTTTTCACTCTCTCCTTTAATGGTCCTTCCAGTTTATCTGATGGCAACATCAGCAACTGCCACAAAAACAATAAAAGGTTTATTAGTATTTTGACCAGCTTGAAACCCATTGAGTTAATCGATTTGCAGTGTGACTAACCTCTTTTTCGGATTCTAACTCATGAGCCAACCTGAGATTCAAGTTAAGTGAAGCATGATACATTTCATCTAACATTTGCCTCGTCACAATCAACTTGTTTACCTTCCACAACAGAAACGGTACATACGTACCCGTGATCGCCAATTTCTACAAAAACGAACAGAAGAGAACAACAATGAATCTCATATCAACCAATTCGTTTTAGTTTTGGAAATGACTTGGTTTCCAAACTATGAATACCTGCATATGTAAGTATCCGTCTTTCCACATCTTCAAAAGGATTTGCGGTGTGTCTTTCTTTTCAGTCAGTGCGGCATCAGCAATCTTACAGAAAAAAAACATATTGATGAAGTTAAGAAATCATTATGACTTAAAAGATATTTCTATATGAATCAAAAGAAGAGTCATTAACCTTATCGGTCTCAACAAAACGCCCTTCCTGTGATAAGTATCTGAACATTCTGAAAGCTTCTTTCCCATATCTTCTCATAACTACTGCTTCTACCTAGAAACATCCAAAGCTCTCGTTTTCAGTTTCAGAAATATATCAGGAAAAGAAAAAAATATGATACACACCTCATCTTTCTGTGCTACGCTGATAATGGATTTAAAATCTGCAAATACCAAATAACAAAACAATATTAAATGTAAGCTTGGATACAAGAATCAGTTGACTAAGATTTTGAATGGAGTACTATACCAACTATGTATGAATCATTCATTTCTGTCACAAATGCTGGTAGATAAGAAGACGTAGCACTCAATTGGTCAAGGCATGCTTCAACTCGCTCTTGTAACATAGTGCGACCTGCTTCTGTCTTTATAACCTCTTCATAAATGGAACCAACTGACATTGGAGCTGTTTCAAAGATTAAAGCAAGTTCAGTTACTCAACAGAATTTCGTAGGTGGACTTTTGGTGGAGAATGCAAAATCAATCACACCAAATACAATTTTAACTTCAACATATTTTTATGATGTTAATATTGTATGAAAATGAGTGAGCAACTCAGATATTACCCGAATTGTCTGTTTTCACCTTCTTCTCCTGTGATCTTCCTACTTCTAACATTGCCCTCAAGACAATGGCACATCCTTCATCCCTGCGCTCTTTCACGATCTCCACACACGCCTTCAACAAGGAAACAAGTGGTTAAAAGCTAAGAACCAGTAAGCTAGATTAGAAAAAACAAAATTTCAAATGCCAATAACGAAGAGCTTTTTCTCTCATCAAACTACCTCAAAAGAGAAACACGGATAACTAACCTTATGTCTAAGGCGGTGGATGAACTCCTCAAAATTGGGACGCCAAATTACTCCACTGCTCGGATCTGATGAGTCCACATCACGTTGTTTACGCTAAAATATTCGGTTCAATGAGAAACATCAACAAAGGTATTCAGTGCTACATCATGAAATGTAGCTTATAAGATAGCCAAGATTGGTTATGGTTAGAATGCTGATACCTTCCCCTCAGTGATGTTGCTATTGTCATCTGCTAAAGATGAATTGGAATCTTCTTCAAATATAAGTGGAAACCTTATTGCGTCAACTGGAGTTGCTGCTTCAACAACACGTTCTTCCAAGGTTTCCGGTTCTTTAAGAATCTACACAGTTCCAAGAGATTTATTAATATCGAACAGAATAAAAATCAAAACTGAGAGTCATGTTACTGCATTGGTAGGTCTGATAAACAATAAACTGATATATTGGACAATGTATAGGTATACCAAACACTAGAAAGACCTAATTAATTACCTTGGCAGCTTTAGCGCCTCTTTTCTTTGCCGGCTCTTGGTCTTTGTTACCAAGAACAGGTTCGGGAGAAGGAATGCGCTCAACAAAACGGGCAGCAACCAATTTCTGAAGAGAATCTCTGATTGCTTCAGAACCTATCGTCTTTCCTGAATCTGATCATGTATGAAGAAATCGTATACAACAGATTAACATCCATTCCGTTCGAAGCATTATTGAAATCATAAGGAGATACAAAAAGTCCAAAAGCCAATGCCTACGATGAGAGTAAACTGTGGTAATATAACATAAGAGGAACATATGATATCAGGACTCACCTCTGTCTCTTTCAATCAGCTGTCCCAATCTAAGCCTACCGTTACTAAGTAAACCATCAAGAACTGCGCCGCACTATACATAAAGATCAAAAGTATAAGATTAGCATTAGAGTCTTGAAGCGTAAAACCAACTAAACAAAACACTGAACAGAGTAAAGAAGAAGCAAGATTAAACCTCAGAGCCAAGTTCTTCATTCACAATCCTCGAAAACTTGTTGTACCTCACACGATGCAAAATGTTGTTAAACAGCACAATATATTGTACAATTGCTTTGCTCTCAGAACCATCTACAAGTCAAAAACATACAAAAATACTGTACATGAGTTCTCTGTTTCTTTGTTATGCTACTAATGACATGGTTGAAGGATACATAGAGACTAACCAGGTGGTTCAATAGAGAAAGCTTGAACACAATTATGCTGAATCAAGAGATAAAGAATATCTTTAACTTGGTTATGATTGATATCTGATTCAGCTAAACGAGAGATGTCTCGCGAGGAAAGAGGTCCTTTACGTAGAAGACATTCGCAAACTTTCTGCAAAATAAACAAAACCCATCACCAAATTCGTTATACAGAGATCAACAAAAGTGTCAAAAGGGTTTAAATTTTACCGATACGACGGAGCCGAATTGGACGGTGATGATATGGACGGCGTAGACAATGCCAAACTCAGACATAGCCATGACTGATAGTGCTGGGTTTCAATCGTATCACCGTCGAAGCAGAAGACTCTGCTGAGCTTGACAGGAGTGTTTGCTAATCGAGTTTAGGTTATCCTATGAGAGGATATTATTTTAGGGCCTTGTATCTGATAATTGGGCCTATCAGGCCTAGAACTGTCAAATGGGCTGTCCAAAGCCCGATAGTCATGTCCATTTGGACCATTATTTTCATGGGCTCTAATGGTTTGGTCCTTAATGGACAATGATCGAGTTTACCACCTTCCGATGGCGATTCTGAAGCCGTAACAGAGTATATGCAGCTCGAGCGATTTAGTTTTTGAGACAAAAAGAAATTTAATTTTCCCCCAAAATTGAATAACCCTAGTTTTTAATGAAACTGGGCCAACCAATTGTCCGTATGGGCTAGCCCATTATGTCCATGGACAAAATTGGTCTTTAGACCAGATGACCCATTTTATTTATGGGCTGACCACGGACCGTCCATAATATTTTGGACTGGGCTTAGCCCATGGTCGGATGACCATTTGACAGTCCGAATCAGGCCCTATACTTGTATGTCCAAAACTCTATTTCGAATAAAAATGAATGAGTTGAATGCATGGTTTGACCAAGAAAAAATGATTAGTGATTTGACTTATTTTCGTCAACGTAACGAAATGTCCTTTGAGAAATTTTTGACAAGTTCCATCAACGAAACTCTAATCATACTCATTCCAAGGACGATACTTTGAACAAATCACTAAAGCATAACAAACAACAAATCAACGGACTGTAAAAAACGCTTTATATAAGATCAATAAAACTAGAAATGAACAAAACAACCAACTTAGAATATTCCAGGAGCTAGCAGCAGAACACACGATGAGAGAAAACACACAAGAACCCTAATTATAATCAAACGAGATAGCAGCGAAGAGAATCAGAGAGACGACAAGTAGAGAGGAACGAAAACTCACAGAGAGAAAAGCTTCTTCGCGGCTGGACTGAAGTGTATCCAAGTCTAGGGTTTACTCTACAGCTCTAAATGGTGAACATGCACCAAGAGCAAAGAGGATATAAATAAACTCTCCAGCACCAAGAGAACATGATAAACAAACCCAAATCGAATCCGATCGCACAAGTGATAAGAGAGAAGTAGTAAGTACCTGAATATAAGGAGTGAGAAGAGAAAGTTGCAATGCCCAAACGTAACTAAGCTACAATTCTTCTTCTTCAAGCTCTGATTAGAAACCCTCTTAAAACTCAACTCAAGGAACACAACAACAAACCCATGTCAATTGACCGGAGTCTCCTACAAACGCAACAGTCACACGACTCGTCCTCGTAGACATCAATCTCACCGGTTCAATCTTCCCTCACGAACCTCACAGCTTTAAAGCTTCTTTTTTTATCACAAAACAACAGATATAATCTCAAGTTTTCCGACGAACCCAGAAGAAAGTCGTGAATTTGGGAGAAGGGTAACAAAACAATTGAAGAAAATTGAGAAGAAGCTATGGGAGCTGTTTCGATTTCAGATTATCAATAACACACTCTTGGAGAGAGAAGACCTAGTGCAACCCTCAACTAAAACTAAGAGGAATAGGCTTGTGGGCTGTTGGGCTTGGGTAATTATGTTTAAGAAGACTTTGGGTTAGGTTTATGGTGGGTTGTTGGGCTTGGATAGTTAGGTTTGGGATTAGCTGGGTTTGGATTATATAAATATATATTAATAAGCTATATTTCGGATACCCGAATGGATATCGGT